GTTTTTTAGCAGGTACGAGCTGTAATGGCGAAGCTCTATTCTGGAAAAGGGGGCGGGGAGCAGCAGCTCATTTGCATTTAAAGAGACGGGCATGAAAAACTGGGTGTTTCTGCTTCCACTCAAAATAGGCATTTTCAAAATGATATAATAAATGATCTGTGGGGTATTTTGAGCTGAAACTTCACAGACACATTCTGGGGACACCAGAGACTTATATTACATATTGTAAAAAGGGGCATAATATGTCTCCTTTAAATGTTTTTATCTTGTAAAAATCCTTTTCTGTGAAGATGGTAAATAGCATCCATATAATTTTTATTTATTTATTTATTTTTATTTCTGCAGGTCCTCAAGTGAGAACTGTAATGGCTACAACAATGCTTACTCAGACTCAGCTAGCTGCCATCTGGTAGGTGTTTACCCTCCCCAGTACTTGCATAAAGCATTTTTTTTTTTTTTAAGAAATCTTACTCGGGGGAGATTTCATTGCACAAGTGTAGCTTCATGCATGTGATTGCTAATTTATGACAGGCCTAATTTTATGAAGTATGTAAAGGTGGGTTCAAAAGACTGCTTTTGAAAATGCTTTTTTTGAGCATTTTTCTATTTTTTTCGCTTTACATATATTTTCTGTTTTAAAAAATGAGTGAAAAATTAAAGTTATCAAATTTCAGATTGTATAAAAAATTTAGCTACATGCCTTGATTTAATGACATGTTTTGTATGTTTTTTGTAAGGAATCTTGCTGATGTGGATAAGGATGGTAAACTGAAGGCTGATGAGTTTATTCTTGCCATGCATTTGGTAGACATGGCTAAAATGGGACAGCCACTGCCTATGGCACTCCCTTCAGAGCTGGTGCCCCCATCACTGAGGTAATGCTGACTAGTTTGTAACGTGATCTCCGATTGACTGAAAACTTAATCATATACAAAACATTGGTCATGAATGTAAAATATGTTTTAAATTATTACCTGAATTGCTTAAATTGTTTTGTCAATGTTTTTTCTCCATAAATATATACCTGTAGGGGGAAGCTTGGTGACTCTGTGAATGGAACCACTCCCTCAATCTATGCAGGCCTGGCTGAGGACCTCTATGAGTCTGAGCCTCCGCAGAAATCAAGGAACAATTGTATGGCTTTACACCACACCCATTATTGCATAATACAGATATCTATGACTCGCTTCTTTTACCAAAAAAAAAAAATGTATCAGAGTTTAAACAGATGTGTTCTATTTAGGCACACTGATTGTGTAATATTATTTGATTTGTGAAAGACATGAAACAATTGGTATAAATAATTTACTAAATACTGAATAACTCTCATTATGGTGTGCTTACTGACTGTGATTTGCATCCTACTGATTTTAAGCATGTCACATCCCCCCCTCCCCCCCTCAACATTATTTAGACACTTAAGCCATACTTAAAAATGTATGAATGTTGTTGTATTAATTGGCACAAAAAAAAAACTGGTATAAAAACATTTCACAAAAAGAAGTGTTTATATTTATCAAATATAATAGCTGCTTGAACATCCCAGTTCATTGTAATAATTTATGTATGTGCTCTGTGTATCTAGGGACTTTTGAAGATAAGTTCAAGAAAAATATGGAGATGGGAAATGCTGAGCTGGAGAAGCGCCGGCAGGCACTGCTAGAGCAGCAGCGCAGGGAAGAGGAGAGGAGGGCACAGAAGGCCAGAGAGGAGCAGGAGAGAAGAGAGAGGGAGGCACGAGAGCTGGAGCTGAAGAGGAAGAGGGAGGAAGAGCTCAGACTGGAGCGACAGAGAGAGCTGGAGAGACAAAGAGAGGAGGAGAGACTTAAAGAGCTGGAGAGGAAGGAGGTGAGAGGATGACCATGTGATAACGTTTCAGGTTCTGACCAAAATATTACATTTCCCAAAAGGTTTGTACAGGTATAAAAGATTCAGGAAAATAATCTATATAAATAAAAACATGAACATTTTTACCGACTACTGCTACGATGTTCCTTACAGGCAGCCAAGAAGGAGCTGGAGCGCCAGCGGCAGCTTGAGTGGGAGAGGAGGAGAAAGCAGGAGGTCCTAAACCAGAAGAGTGAGGAGCAGGAGGAGATCATCAGGCTCCGAGCCAAGAAGAGGAGTCTGGAGATGGAGCTAGAGGCTGTGGTGAGGCTATAGGACATTGTGCTATCAATCACCACATTTCATCTAGACTCATTATGTGGGAAACCAAGCACTTTTAAATTTAACAACACATTTCAATTATGTACAATTATTATAATTCCTCCTTTTTTTTTAAATGGTCAGAATGCTTGATAAAAGAGATCTCTCTTTTTAGGGCAACAAGCAGAAACAAATCTCTGACAAGCTCCGAGATGCTGAAGGCAAAAAGAGAATCCATAAAAATGAGCTGGAAATGATCAACCAGAAAAGAGACTCCTGCATCACAGAAATCAACTCTCTGCAGAAACAGTTAGAGGTCTGACTGCTGCATCCAAAATAGCACACATGAATTATGAATGTGTCTACATGCGTTTAAATTAAATCAGTTTATTAATTTATACTGAAATATATACTGAAACTCCACTTATTCTTAATAAATCTCAATTTTAGATGTAGATTGCTTCACAAGAGCATAGTAGTAATCATGATGACCTGTTATGTGATTTTTGCAGGAATTTAAGAGAAAGTTGGGACAGTCAACCATAGAACAGCAAAAACTCAATGACAGACTCCGCAACCTGAATCTGAACAATCTCCCTAGTAAGACACTTTTGGCCAATTATGTTCCCCCCCAAGTATTGCTATTTAAAAAAAAAATTTCCATTTGTGATACAAGCATCTGGAATTGTGAAAGACAAAAAAAACCTTAAGCATGACTGATGTGTTGAATTGTAAAATAATAATAATAATAATAATAAACTTTGTTCCCTGTAATTAAGAGAGCTCCAACAATTTGTATGTATTTGTTTGTTTCTTTTTTTCTTGATGCAGCTGCGACAGTGAAAACTTTACAGAGTAATGTGGAAGAGAAGGATCTTACCTGTCGAAAGCTTAAAGAACAGCTTAATGCTTTGGAAAAGGAGACTGCAGTTAAATTAGCAGATATGGATCAGTATAAGAAAGAAATCCAGGTAAGCCTTTAATACCACTCAACCATGACTAATAAATGCATGCAATTCATTCAGAGCAGCACAAACTGACCTGTAGGTTTAGCTTGACTAGTTACACTTTACAAGATGCTGACTGACACAGGACATTTTAACTTGAGTGATAAAAAAATATTTAATTCTCCAGCTGTAGCTATTTAGCATTTCTGTAACACATCTTTCTTAACCGATCAGTGCTAACAACATATAGACTGTTCCTGATGGCACTAATGCGAATAACCCCTATGCTTTTGTCCCTGTGTCTTTATCACTAGCTGTAGAGCTTTTCTGTCTGTCTGTCTGTCTACTTGTCTGTCTCTCCCTGGCTTTCGCTGCAGTTTGAGGAAATGGATGACTGCATGCTTAAAGGCCTGCTCTCTTTACTGAGTTGCCTCAGCAATCTCTTCTTCCTTTTGAAGGTCTCTTTTTTTTCCCTTTTCCTGCTCACTCTTACTGTAGCAGCTTCACCTTTAGATCGTTACCAAAGGATCTTTACTGCACATATTATCAGGGATGAATTAAAGGCCAAATAAAATTCCATTCACAATGCGTTTAACTTCCATAATGTGACTCATTTCTGGGTGAAACAATTTATTCACAATTTATCAATTATTTATTTTTAAAAAGTGTCAGTTTGGGGCATCTTTTTAGCATCATTGTGATACTGCTTTATAGTTTTTATTAATATTTTGAATCAGTTTTAATTTTAGTTTGAGGAAATGGATGACTGCATGCTTAAAGGCCTGCTCTCTTTACTGAGTTGCCTCAGCAATCTCTTCTTCCTTTTGAAGGTCTCTTTTTTTTCCCTTTTCCTGCTCACTCTTACTGTAGCAGCTTCACCTTTAGATCGTTACCAAAGGATCTTTACTGCACATATTATCAGGGATGAATTAAAGGCCAAATAAAATTCCATTCACAATGCGTTTAACTTCCATAATGTGACTCATTTCTGGGTGAAACAATTTATTCACAATTTATCAATTATTTATTTTTAAAAAGTGTCAGTTTGGGGCATCTTTTTAGCATCATTGTGATACTGCTTTATAGTTTTTATTAATATTTTGAATCAGTTTTAATTTTAAAGTTTTAGTCATTTTGTTGTGTTTTTGTCATTTTTGTTCGTTTTTATTTTGTAATTTTCATGTAGTTTGTAAAATTTTATTTTAGTTTCAGTTTTTTCATTCATAAAGTTAAACTAAGTGAAAATGAGAAGTTTCATTGGCAATTAGCTGAAATAAAGTTAGTTTTAGTTAACTATAACAGCACTGCTTTAGAGTGCATTCTAGCTTTCAAGTCAACATGAATCCTTTTATTGTGATGTACTTCTGATTGAATAATGATATTCGATGAGGAGAAACTAGTTTAAATTGATTTGGAATGTGAAAATTATCCATTACATACCAGAATGTAGTCAGATGTGTGCAAGTTTGGTAAAAAAATTACCTTATGGTCTTAATGACATTGTCACTTAAGAAGAAAACTTTGTCTTGATTAAAAGTTAAGCTAAAAAGTCAGGTTTCAGTGTTAAGAAAGTAAATTGGGTAAATATTGATTTCAATTTAATCTTAAAGGAACACTCCACTATTTTTGAAAATAGGCTCATTTTCCAACTCCCCTAGAGGTAAACAGTTGAGTTTTACCGTTTTCGAATCCATTCAGCCGATCTCCGGGTCTGGCAGTAACACTTTTCGCTGTAGCTTAGCATAGATCATTGAATCTGATTAGACCGTTAGCATCTCGCTCAAAAAAGACCAAAGAGTTTCTATATTTTTCCTATTTAAAACTGGACTCTTCTGTAGTTAGATCGGCTGAATGGATTCGAAAATGGTAAAACTCAACTGTTTAACTCTAGGGGAGTTGGAAAATGAGCCTATTTTCAAAAATAGTGGAGTGTTCCTTTAAGGTTGTTTTCGGTCTCTGCTACAATGGAGAATAATTGAGTTCAGTATGCCATAATCTTGTGGTTTGTTAATTAGGATCTCCGAGAGAGCCAGAGGATGCAACAGTCTGATTTGGAAAAACTACGCACCATTAAGGAAGAAAAAATCATAGAGCTAAAGAAACGCAAGCAGGAGGAACTGGAAAAGAAGAGGAGAGAAGAGGAAGAGCAAAAGTAAGAGAATCTTTCCTATAGTACACTCACACTTGCATGGAAGAATTCAGGATTTCACAAGCAAAAATTCTTTCCCTATACAGACGCATCAAACTGGAGAAGGAGAGGCAGTGGCAGGAGAAACTGCGGCGTGAAGAGGAGGAGAAACAGAGGAAAATACAGGAGGAAAGAGAAGCCAAACTTCGTGAGGAGGAGGAGAAGGAGAGACAAGCTCGTTTACAGGCCGCTAGAGAACAAGTGGAACGGGAGCGCAAAGCCCGGGAGGAGGAGGAGAGGAGGCGCAGGGAGGAGGAGGAGGAAGAAAGGAGAGAACAAGAGAGACGCAGACTTGAGGAGAAAAGGAGGCAGGAGGGAGAAGAGGACCGCAGGCGGCGAGATGAGGAAAGGAGAAAACTGGAGGAGGAGAGGAGAAAACTGGAGGAAGAACGGAGAAAACTGGAGGAGGAAAGGAGGCGGCAGGAGGAGTTAAGATTGGAGGAGGAACGGAGAAGAGCAGAGGAGGAGAGATGGGAAGAGGAGAGAAGAAGGGAGCGTGAGGAGGAGGAGAGGAGGCGACACCGTGCACAGGAGGCTGCCATGAGAGATGCAGAGGAGAGAAAAAGAAAAGAGGAGGACCGGAAAAGGCAGGAAGAGGAGGACAGGAGGCGTCGGGAGGAGGAGCAAAGGAAACAGGATGAGGAGAGGAAGAAGAAACGGCAAGAGCAAGAGGAAGAGGCTGCAGCCGCAAGACTGAGAGACGATGAACAGAACAAGAAGAACACTGTTAAATCAGACATCGTTGCTGCTCTTCTGCGCGGCTTGGAGGAGAGGAAAGGTAAGAAAAAGTGTACCGTAAGTTTTAAAATCAACTCGCATGGCATGGTTATTTCTGAAATGATTGGAATGAATGAAAGTATCCTCGTGATTTCAGGCGGCAGACATCCTCTTGGCACACAGCACAGGAGATCAGCGGCACTGACAACGTTTAAAGCCCTCTACCCCTTCACTGCCAGAAACGATGAGGAGCTTTCCTTAGAAAGCGATGACCTGATTGAGGTCAGTTTGAGAGCAAATCTCACAAAACCTGCCAGTGGTCCGGGATACGGTGTACATTTTAGGACATCCTCAGACCTCAGTCATATGACAAAAAGATATCATGCCTCCGACTGAAAGGCTTCAGCCATTGGACTAAACAGCATCGTGACTCCGACTGAAAGGCTTCAGGTGTCATACGTCAGGTGTCAGGTCTCGTACAATTAGGCATCAGGCGAAACGGCCTTAGACAAAAAGGCATCAGACACAAGGGCATCGGGCAAAATGGACTCGAAACCCTGATAATATTCACGGCTGTAAGTTTTTTTTTTTTCTTTTTTCTTCGTTTAGGGGTAAAAAAAAGTTCGAAATACGGGACCAGTGCTACAGTAAGCGAACATCCCAGCGCCATGCACGCTGCAGAGAGCGGAGTTTAGAATAATATGTAATTATGTGCTATAAGCTTTCCTCTTGATTACAAAATAAACACTTATAACAAAATGACAGCGGCAAGAGGCAGTTAAGAAAACATCTGATCATCATAGTGACACCAGCTCTGCAATCGGCACTCCAGTAATTCACGTCACGTTTAAGCACTTTTATACTGCAATTTATACAATAGATTACTTCAAAGCAGCTGCTTTTAAACATGAAGAAACAGTGACCGTATCGCTTTCGTTTGGAATTACAGCTTCTTTTCTACTATGAAGTAGATTAAGGCTATGTTTTTTTTTTCTTTTTTAATGACATTTAGATTCTGTTGGCTTTTATCCCATCATAATGTCATCCTTAAATTATCTTTTTCTTAATCTCCAGCCCTCCAATAAAATGTGTGTGTGTGGGTTGTGTATATAATTTATTGACATTCATTTTATGTATTTATATGTAATCCTATGACAATGTTCTTTATGTAATTGTTATTTGAGCATTAGAGAGAGAGAGAAGGAGAGACAGAAGTTAAGCAGTATCTGATATATTTTCTTATCGTTTTAATTATATGTTACACTGGTTATGTTCTATACAGGACAGAACATGTTTGACATTAGTCTGCAGAAAAACTGCAACGGACTGAATGAAAATGCAAATTCACTTTTCTAACAGTAGGCGCGGAACAGCAAGCCATTTCCCCAGTAACATCTGTACACAAAGTAGCGCTGTGCTTATATCAATACAGTCTAATAGCCCCAAAGATCTCTTTAACTTCACTATAGTTTGCCAACATACAAGCTAACAATGTTTTTTTTAGCAAACTTTCTTAAACGTACAAATAAAATTTGTGAATGATACAAATTTACAAAATTCAAAAGTCTTCAGCTCCACCTGTCTCAATCTGTACCACTTCTAAACCGCGTGCATGTGATGTCACACTGAGGCGGGGCAATGCTAAACTTACACCTGAGACCTGACACCTGACATTGTTTTTCCTGAGACCTGAAGCCTTTTACTCTGAGGCACGATGCCGTTTAGTCCAATGGCTGAAAAACAATATTACTATTTTACTGTATTTTTGATATAGCTTTGTGTCCATAAGAGACTTCTATCAAAAACATAAAAAAATGTTACGGACCCCAAACTTTTTAACATATATACACACACATTCTGATAGCATATGTCTGTTATTTATTTATTTATATTTTCATAATCATTTTTTATTTTGTATTTTTTTTTTTTTACACGTTCAATGTTAAAAGTGATTGTGGGAACAGCACAGGGTTCAAGTTTACTCAGCTGGATTTCTGTTTGTTTAGGTGGATGAGAGCATAGAGCGAGAGCAGGGCTGGCTGTACGGCAGTCGGCAGGGGAAGATGGGCTGGTTCCCTGAGAGCTATGTGGAGAAGCAGGCCAAATCTGAGGCTCCACTCGTGGCCAAACAAGCCCTAAAGCCACAGGTCTCCATCTCTGTCAGGTGCGATCTCTAATCTGACTACCTCATATTGTTCAAATGCTTCATTTACACCTCTTGCACAATCATTTGTACAAGCTTTCCCAATCTGCACTAACAGACAAAGTGCATGTGGGTGCAGAGCCATCACAGAAAACATTCACAGCTACAAACTGCATGTCAGCGAAACAAGCAAAATGCATTTTGAGTACAAGACATGTTCACACCAAGTCCGAAAGTATAAAATATTACGAAACGATTTTTCACATCAAATCTAATGCAATGTTTTTGTTATTCTCTGATTTAAAAAAAATACAAATGGAAAAAAATTATCTATTAATATTAGTTTTTTTTTTAAAAGAGTTCATAAAGATGCACTGTTTCGTTTCAAATCTTGAGCATGATGGTAGAACATGTAGAATATTCTAAAACACCTTCTTCACCAGCAAACTGAGTGACGGAGCGAGTGGATCACGGCTGAACTCCGCTTTCACCCCTACTCATGCCACAGGCTCCGCCTCTTCCAACCATGGTCAGGTATGCAAGATTCCTTGAGAATAACCACATAGTGTTTATGTAAGCTACAACTTCCTTGTGGTAAAATGCAATGACATTTGCTGCATGGTTTCAGGTGGTGGGGAATGTGCAAGCTCAAGCTCTGTGCTCATGGACTGCAAAGACTGACAACCATCTCAACTTCTCCAAAGATGATGTGATCACAGTTCTGGAGCAGCAGGAGAACTGGTGGCTTGGAGAGCTCAGTGGGGTTCAGGGGTGGTTCCCCAAAACCTATGTTACAGTGCTGAGCGCCAGCGATGCACAAGCAGAGTAAATACACACACTGTGCTGAAGTGCTTTAATATCAATAATAACAATGCTGAAGTGGTTGTGACCAAAATAGATAGAGTGTGTAGCTGTGAGTGTTACATGTACTTTGTCTGTGAAAGTGTTAATGTGAAATGGTATTTTCAAACTAAACCAAGTGATTCTTTGCATACTAAAACTCACTGGTGTACTGAGGTGCAGATGTTCCTGCAAAGAGACTAATTCTGATGTGTCGCTTTACTTTCTGTGTTTGAGGTTGTTGTTCATTTGACATTGAACAGCTTTGTCCTGAAACACTTTAATCATCTTGTTTGGTGCTTGTTTAAGGTTTAATTTTTTCCCCCCATAGTTCCGCTGAAGGATCTGATACAGCAGAAGGATCCAGCTATGAAGGTAAGAAAAAACAGATTCGGTTTTTCCACCAGGACCCTAAAGCAGTTTGTGATCAAGAACAGCTTCCTTTTACAGCAAGAAAAGATATCTTTGGTGCTATACTGCAAATGAACAACATATTAAAATACATTTGCGATTATTAATTCAGGAACTTCAACAACATGTAGTTTTGTGCCTCCCTAAAATTTACAGTATGGAGGTCGCTCTCAACTGTTACTGCATCTTGTTCGATTATTAGTTAATATAAAGTTTGGAGTTGGTAAGATCCTCTCCACTGCATTTATTTTATCAAAAACGGTAATATCTCAAAATATTACTACAATTTAAAATAACTGTTTTCTGTTTTAATATGTTTTAAAATGTAATTTATTCCTGTGATGGCAAAGCTGAATTTACAGCATCATTAATCCAGTCTTCAGTGTCACATGATCCTTCAGAAATCATTTTAATATGCTGATTTGGTGCTCAAGAAGCATTTCTTATCAGTGTTGAAATCAGTTGTACTTTTGGGAAATCCTTTTTCGGGATTTTTTTGAAGAATAGAAAGTTCAAAATATATATTTTTTTTAAATAGTAAAGAATTTATAATGTTATAAAAGATTGCTGTCATTTGTGGTCAATTTAATGCATCCTTGCTGAGTAAAAGTATTCATTCATTATTACTTATGATCTGACCTGAAACTTTTGAACAGTAGTGTAATTAGTTCTCTGATTAGTTGTTTAGTGTGATTAAACGGTCCTTGTGGGTGACCCAAACTTTTATTTCCCCTGTGTGTGTGTGTGTGTGTGTGTGTGTGTGTGTATATATACAATATATTCATTTCAAGTATATTTTGTGTCTGTTATGCCTGTGAAGACATCACAGATTAATCTCTTGACATCAGTATAGTCCTTGTGTTCCAAGTTACCCTGAACCATGTTTGTATGTTGATCCTGCCATCAGAATATGTGGCGCTGTACACTTACGAGAGCCCTGAGCCTGGAGACCTGACCTTCACCGAGGGAGACACCATCCTGCTATCAGAGAGAGAAGGGGAGTGGTGGAGAGGCAGCATCGGAGACAGATCAGGAGTCTTCCCCTCCAATTACGTCAAGCCAAAAGAGACTGATGTAATTTTATTTTTGTATTTAAGGATACTGGCATTCATACATGTTGTTGTTTTATGATAACAACAATTTTTTTTTCCCTTACTAGACGTCAAGTCTCTCTGGTAAACTTGGAACGCCTGGAAAGAAACCAGGTAAGTAACAACATCAAGTTATATGACAAAATTAAATCACTGTAATTAATCATAGATATTTAAACCTATAACATGTTATTTTGTTTGCAGAAGTGGCCCAGGTGACCACTGCGCACACAGCTGCCGGTGCAGAGCAGTTGAATCTAGCCCCAGGACAGCTCATCCTCATCCTCACCAAGAACCCCTCCGGCTGGTGGCTCGGAGAACTGCAGGTGAGTGAACAGTTTATGCTTAAACACCTTAAATGAGCCATTACCTCCACTTACGTTAATCAAGGAACTAAAAAAATACAGTTTGAGTAGTTTTACAGACTTTTTCCACGTATTCCATCATATGGCCCATATTATTTACAATATGGATATATTGGTATATATTGGTTATGATATATTGGTGTATATCAGTTATTAGCTGATTTTTAATTTACTGTCAGTAGTTATATCTGGAATTATACACACAATAATTGATGATGATAATTATTTTTATGTTATGGCCGGTAATCAATAGTTAACCAAATTATACACTGTTTTGTCAAAATAAATTCAAAATTAAGAAATTATGATAAAAATGTGTGTATAAAAAATTATAAAAAATATACTTAATACAGTATATTTTTACAGTATAATATAATATAATATAATAAAAATGTGTGTATATATCTTTATTAATTTTTTTAGACAAAATTGTATAGAATTTTAATATTGTCCTTAACATGAAAATAATTATCAGCCTGTTGGTATCGCTCAGAACATTAATACTGCTGCATCTCTAATGTGTATTAAGTATATTTTTTATCATTTTAAATGATGGATATCTCCACCTGTAACATGTATTTTATATACTTCCACAAACAAAATAATATTAATCTAATTTCACAGACAGATGGATGGATGGATAGATAGATAAACAAAAACAAAAAATTCTAAATAGCTGTATAGTTTTTTGTTTGTGTCCTCAGGCCAGGGGGAAGAAGCGTCAGAAGGGCTGGTTCCCTGCTTCACACGTCAAGCTTCTGGGCTCAAACAGCGGCAAATCTACACCTGCATCTGCGGCTGGTAAGAAACAGCACAAGTTTCCAGGGTTGATGATTTGTTTTTTTAATCTCTCCTCATCGCTCTCCCTGTCTTTCCTCACTCTAGTAGGCCAAGTCATCGCCATATACGACTACACTGCAGCGAATGAGGATGAGCTGAGCTTCTCGAAGAGTCAAGTTATCAACGTGCTGGACAAAAGCGATCCTGACTGGTGGAAAGGAGAGCTCAATGGGGTCACGGGCTTGATTCCCACCAACTATGTGAAAATGACCACCTCTGATTCTGACCCCAGTCAGCAGTGTAAGTAGAGACCCATAAACAGACCAGTCTATTTTGGTTCTGTGTTTTTTTTAATCATTATGCCGGTTTTTGGTTGTGTTAACAACTATAAAATTTGCTTTAAGAGTCTAACTTATTTTCAAATTTAAATTGGTTTCAGATTATTTAAAGAAAAAATTGTTGCAGTTTATGCTCCTTGAATGTGGGTGTTTATTATTTGAAATGATTTGTATTTATGACTGAGTGTATTACAGTTTCATTACATTATTATAATGACATTTTATCCTGCTTTAAATATTATCAATATTTAGTGTTATTTCATGGTGCCTTTTTTGGTTCGTTTTATTTTTGCCATTATAATGGAAAGGGTATTTCCAATCTTGTACAGTTGTATGCGTAGTATCTAATCTAATGTTAGACTTTTCTTCTCCTCCTCCATATTTAGCCACACGTTTATTTCTCTCACAATTTTTTTCCCCTTCGACTTTGTTCTTCTCATTTGTGTCCTTCTCTGTAGGGTGGTAACACCTTTCCTTTCCTTCATCCATAAGAGACCCACTATCCCCCTCTCACAGTGGAGGTGGTCGTGCTGAAACCACCATTTACTCACCCAATCACCCCCCTGCATCTTTCCTCACCAGTCTCATTTCTTTTAAACTTAAACAAGGCTTTTAATTCAGTTGACTGGTAGTCTGGACCGATCTTAACCGATTAGTACGGGCTTAGGGAATCTTTATATGGTTTTCCTTTGAATTCTCTTAAATTTTTGTTTGCTTGAAGTTCCTTTAAAGGTGGCAGCTTCTTTTATAGGGTCATTTTGGGACGGTGAGACTTCACAGTAAAGCTGTTGCTCCTCAGTTTGGTCATTTTCAGAGACGTTACATTTTAAGGGATGTTACAAAGTGTGAAACTGCCTCAGTATGTCATCGCAATCACAGTAATTATACACTTTACATAAATACGCTGGCTATAATTCAACTTTAAACTTCGTATTATTAGTCTCTGGTTATTGAAGGCACTTTGACTTTTTAAAGAACAAACAACTGTCACTTTTTTGAGGCAGTTTCACCTTGAATCTTTAGATGCTTTTCACTCTTTTGCTTCCATTTATTCAGTCAGTTCCATCAGTTTGTTCAGTAGTTTCAGTTTGAAATCAATGTAAGAACTAAAACGAAAGACAACTTGTATTACTGTCTGTGCTGTATTTGGAAATATAGTTCTGCTGATGCTATTTTAAGCACAATGCTTTGGCCTTAGGTGGTATTGTTACATATTTACTGTGTTTTATGCAATGTTTGTGCATGGCTCGCTTCTGTATAAACAGATTTGATAGTGTTATGTGGGGAAACTATGCAAATAGTTGTGAACTTGTGGACAAATGTTTGCCTTAATATCATTTTATTGGATGTTGTTAGTATTCCTTATAAAATATCTCAAATACTTGGATCTTGTACTTATTTGATTTGAAGAAATCTAGACATTAAAGTCTTCTGAAAAAAAAAACGAACGTCGCCTTTTTAATTTTTGTAACATAAGAGTTCAATGCCCCAAAAAAAAAACACACTTTCAGATATGCATTTTTAAAAAACGAAACAAAAAGCCCATAAATATTAACATTTTTATCATCTACAGTAAAATATAACAATTTAATGATGTAATGATCTAATTGTTTGATCGTTATTAATATTTAGATATTTAGTTAATAGTGTCTCATATATTGGACCACCTTTCATGAACTTCCGGTGACTTTCTGACAGTATTCCTCTAGCTAATCTTCACTGCCATCTAGTTATGTTTGTCCTGCAGTTGTATTATGGGTGAAAACAGAATGAATAATCCTTCATGCTTGCCGTGTTCATCACAGTAAATGAGCTGGTTTACAAAGCACAGCTCATAAAAATGAGTGATTATTCAGGGGGTAAACTGCTATTTTTACGGCTGTGGGATGTGGATGATGAAGGCACCACTAAAGGCAGCCCGGATGGTCAAACGGACAGACCATCAGCAGGTAAGGCTTCACGCTGGAGCGGTTTGAAGTGTCATCAACACATTTGCATTATCCTGCTTTTGAGTGTGCTTCAGTGTGTTAGGACTAAGGTTGTTGAAGGATCCCAAAGAGCCGTCAATGTGTGTGTGTTTTGTTGCTTATATGGGCTTCAAGCTTCTGGGTGAGTTCACCTGTACCGTTTTCTTGTAGGGTGCACTGACCTGAGCACTCTGGATTCAATGAGCCCACAGGAGAGGAAACGGCAAGGATACATCCATGAGCTCATTGAGACAGAGGAGAAATACAATGAAGATCTACAGCTGGTTCTAGAGGTACACAGTCACAGATCACCTAATTCACATTCATTTATTTATTTAGCAGACCGTTTTATCCAAATCAACTTAGCAATATGAAAATGACAAGCAATTTACAGTAAAGGTGCCAACTGTTTTAGTGGTACCACAATACCAAGATGAGTAATCCAAAATAATGCACAGCTAAATTTGACATACGTTTTATTTTACTATATTTTGTATAATTTATTTAGTATGTTATTAAATGAAAGTTTATATTTTCAGTTGACTCATGATTGTATTTAATTACATAAATATAAATGATATTAAGCTTTTTTGCAGTATTCAGTATGACATGAATTTTTGAAAGTACAAATATCCCAAGTAGTGTAATAATAATATAGTAAAATAATATAATACTTATATAGAATTAATAAAATACTTTTATTACTTTGCAAAACCGTAGATTTGGAAGCTCATAGTGCTTTTTGTAAATTAATCTGTATCATATTTAATTTAATTGTAATGTATATAATTATTTGTTTATTTTTATTTTTTTGAAGATAAAATTATATTTTTCTTGTTGCCTCTCTTAAGGTCTTCCACAAGCCCATGTCTGAATCAGGTCGTCTTACTGAGGCTGAAATGAGCATGATATTTGTCAACTGGAAGGAGCTTATCCAGTGCAACTCCAAAATGCTCAAGTATGTGAGGTTAACTTGGAAATATTTTTGTCTTTTACCAGTGTGCAGTATATCATGCATGATGTGTGTATTGTCAGGGCTCTGAAGACAAGGAAAAAGACTGGGGGAGAGAACATGCCTGTTCACATGATCGGGGACATTCTAGCCTCTGAGCTGTCACACATGCAGGCCTACATCCGCTTCTGCAGCTGCCAGCTGAACGGTGCCACACTGCTGCAACAGAGAACCGATCAGGAGCCAGACTTCAAAACCTTCCTTAAGGTAGCCTCACATACATCACTTAAACAGGACATTAATGTCCTGAAAAACTGTTAAGAAAAAAAATAATAATAATTTTACCAAACCAAAATTATGCAAAGCTATATTTGACACACACACACACACACACACACACACACACAGGTTTGTTTTTATGAATTGTGGGGACATTCCATAGGCATAATGGTTTTTATTCTGTACAAACTGATTGTGCTATTGCCCTACACCTAACCCTACCCCTCACAGGAAACTTTGTGCATTTTTACTTTCTCAAAAAAACTCACTCTGTATGATTTATAAGCGTTTTGAAAAATGGGGACATGGGGTAATGTCCTCATAAGTCACCTTCTCCTTGTAATACCTATGTCATACCCATGTCATTATACAAATTTGTGTCCTCATATGTCACAAAAACGCACGCGCGCACACACACGCACATATATATATTTTTCCCCCCTTTATTTATTATATCTGTATTTATTTATTAATCTGTATTTTCGGTTTATTTATTTTAATGATTTTCTTTATTTATTGAATTAAAGAATATAAACAATATTAAGCTTTTTTGTAGTTCATGGTCCTTCAGTATAGCATATATATTTTTAAAAGTGCATATATCCCAAGTACTGTAATAATATAGTATAATGTAAAATAGTGTGATAAAATAATATTATACTTATAGATAATTAATAAAATACTTTTATGGCTTAATTTAGATTTTCCATCATCAGTGTGAGTTTTTGGTTTAGTTGTTTTCTTGGTAGCAATGTTAATATCAACATTTTTTTTTCTTTAGAAAATTGCCACAGACTACCGTTGTAAAGGAATGCCTTTGTCCAGCTTTTTACTCAAACCTATGCAAAGGATCACTCGCTACCCTCTCCATATTAAAAATGTGAGTAAATAAAGTGCAAATAACTTTTATTTTATGTTTTATTTTTATAGATCTTTTATATTAGATATTGATAGTTAATGCAAATGATTAGTGCATTGTTAACCGATACTTGTGTGTATTTGTGTGTCCAGATCCTGGAAAGTACTCCAGAGAGTCACGTGGACTATGTTCAGCTGCTAGAGGCTTTGGAGAAGGCAGAGCTGCTGTGCTCTCAGGTGAACGAAGGTGTCAGGGAGAAGGAGAACTCTGAGAGGCTGGAGTGGATCCAATCCCATGTGCAGTGTGAAGGCATCACAGAGGTAAGAAAGCACCATCCATATACCATAAATACCTTTTGTAACATTGTAAACTCCCTTTTGATCAGTTTAATGCATCCTTGTTCAATAAAAGTGTTAATTTCTTTAAAAAATCTCACCTTACTGACTGAACTTTTGAATGGTACTGTAAAATGTGAGGGATGATTGGCTGAAAGACTTTGGCTTAAACTTTCATATAACGCTGTATAATAGATTTCTTACTCTTCTATTGTGTCACTTGTCTAGAATCTGACTTTCAACTCTCTGACCAACTGCTTGGGTCCTCGTAAATTGCTGCACAGCGGGAAGGTGTTTAAGACCAAGAGCAATAAGGAGTTATATGCCTTTCTGTTCAATGACTTTCTGCTGTTCACTCAAGCTGTCAGGCAGTTCACTTCCTCAGGAACGGACAAGCTCTTTAGCCCCAAGTCTAACACCCAGTACAAGATGTATAAGCAGGTAGGGTTCCACTCCTCTTCATAAAACAGTGTTCTTTTTTTGGTTAAACCTTTGAGCAAAAAAAAAAAAAAAACCACTGGGATATTGTGTAATGTGTATGTTTGTGTTCCCAGCCTGTGTTCCTCAATGAAGTTCTGGTGAAGCTTCCTTCAGATCCGTCCAGCGATGAGCCCGTCTTCCACATTTCCCACATAGATCGTGTGTACACACTGAAGACTGAGAACATTAACGAGAGGTCAGTTTCAGCGATCGCTCTCTTTATCGGTCTTATCAGCAAGCCACTATTTACTGGACTCATGGGACATTTTATGAACCGTTAAAGGAATGTTGTTATCGCCACACTGTATGGGAAGAGAAAAAAACAACTGCTTTTCATGCTGCTGAAATGCCAGCGCAAGTGGAATTGACAGAATTTTAATGCAGATTAATCTAATGAATTAAATATATTTGCCGTTGCCTTTTATTTGCATGTTTTAGGGAAACCAGTTACTTTTTGCTTCAAGGAAACTCGCTCTCTCTCTCTCTCTCTCTCTCTATCTCTCT